CTCCTGAATAAGCATGCCGAACTGCGGCTACGTCAAGCGTCACATGTCTGGGACCTCATACTCCTTACGGAAACCTGGTTTCACTCAGAAAGTACCGATCCTGAAGTAGCGATAAATGGTATGTCCTTTCTCCGAAACGATCGGCCTAGCAAAGGCGGGGGTAATGTTAGACTACCGCAACGACCTGCAATGCGAACCGATGGCCAATCCAGAGACACTGGTGCAGTTTTCGACTGAGACGCAACGACACTTGTCTTTTGGCCATTGTTTGTTGTCCCCAAATATCCACCCCAGAGATGGACTCCTGCCTTACATTATTCTTGGCAAGGGTCCTAGAAGTACGACACAGTCATGTTCTCATTTCCGGTGACTTCAATCTGCATGATTTGGAAGTTCCGGCATCCACTGAGGAGCCGATTAAGACCGACCTGCAAAACTATATTACAATCATTCCGCTCCTGAGCCGTGTCAGTTAACCCACCCGATTCAGAGCCGGAAATAAACCATCTGCGCTTGGTTGTGCTCACGAATGAACAGTTCATGGTTGGGAAACCAAGGCTGGAGAGCCCTCTGAGGCTAAGTTCCCACGTAACCATAACTTACGACTTCATGTGTTATGCGGAGTATGCACAAGAACATACTAACTTGTTTCAAGCAATCACTCACCATGATATACTGGCAGAACATGTGGGAGACGCCAGCTGGGAGTTTCCGGACGACTGTTCCATTGACAGTGCTTTGCTGGATTTGATTAACAAGTTCAGGGACATGATTAAATCGGCATCGGTCCACAAGCCCATTCGTTCTGCCAGGGCACAATCATTCATTTGGAGCGGAACCCGAAAACACATGTCAGTAAGTGACGCTGCGTGGCAGGTGTATGGAGTGAACCCTAGCCCTGACAGCTGGAGTAACTATGTTGTGCATCGTAATAACTGTACCATACCTGTGCGCGAGGACAAATTAGGACACCGACGGAGTCCAATGGAAAGTTTTGTGTTGGCAAAATCTTCTGTACAGACATGTGAACAGCCTTCGGAATGTCAAATGTGGCGTTCCCCCACTAATATCAGCGGATGGATGTACTCTAACTGCTGAGGATGCAGCCAACATTCTACGGTTACAGTATTCCCCAATTTTCCGACATGTTCTCAGCATTTGTAACATACCCGCTCCATTCTCTCAGAAGCCAGTCTTTATCCACGTCACGTTTAGTTCAGAGACCATTTTGAGGGAGCTGCTTTCGCTGTGCGCCCACAGTTCCCTCGGAGTTGAGAACATACCCACGAATGCACTGCAGGTTCCAGCTACGAGGATAGCTGAACACCTATTGCAATTTTTCCACAGACGCCTGGACGAACAGTAGGTCTCTAACATGTGGAAGCAAGGCATCAGTACCCCGATTTTCAAAAGCGGTAGCCATGCAGAGCCAGCCAACTATCGCCCAGTGACTCTCCTTCCGGTGCTCTCTAAAGTGATGGAATCGATCATAGTTGTGGCTGTAATGGGCTACTTTGAATGGTCTAAGATTATAACACCGGCGTAACATGGATTCTGTCAGCATCGGTCATGTACTACCAACCTACTGCTTGTCCGTGGCAGTTTTACCGAGTAGCAGACAGTGGGACCGGTATTGTTGTCATCTACCTAGACTTTTCTAAAGTCATCATCCGCATAGATCAGCGCATCCTTCTCCAAAAGCTGCAAGCGTAGGGAATTGGAAACCCTGTCCTTGGATAGATCGGAAACTTCCTCTTTCAGCAGAGCCTTCATGTTCCAGTTCGAGGTTCATTTTCTAATCCAATTGATGTGGACTGCGGTGTTCCACAAGGGTCCGTGTTGGGGCCGCAGTTATTCTTTTCTTCATTAACGACCTTGCAAGTGTCATCCAGTGCGCTTTCCTGCTTTTCGCCGATGACATTAAGATGGTGGGCAATCGACTGCTATGAAGATCACGATATGTTGCAACGAGACTTAGACTGCGCTTTGAATGGTCAAACCTAAATCTAGTTCCGTTTACACGGACAAGTGCAAAACCGTACATGTCCGCCATAAGCCCACGTACGCATATAAGCTTGGGGATGATATGCTGAACACCGCCTCACAAAAGCGAGACCTTGGGGTGGTAATCCATGACAAACTTGGCTGTTCGGCGCAGCCCTTAAAGACGTTTAAACCTGAGAACCAACGTGTTGGTCTGTTACGGAGGGCGTTCCGAAGTTTCGATCCCTCCATCTTCCCCAAAATGCTCAATGAGTATGTGATGTCCCATGTAGAGGACGCGATCCAGGCTTGGCAACCCTGGTTAAAACGCGACCTGGTTACACTGGAGACTGCACAGGGACGGGCAACGAAAAATGTGAAGGATTTGTCCTACCCCCAATACCATAAACGACTAAAAGCCCTGGGAATGTACAGTGGCAACTATCACCGTCTACGAGGTGACCTCATCCTGGCGTTCCAGATTTTGAGAAACCCTGGTCACGCTTACCGAAACCTAAAGCTTTGCTGCAACACAGAATTTAGGGGTCATAAATTGAAACTTTCCACCCAATACAGTCGACTGGAGTGCCGCCGGAATTATTTTCCCCGTTGAGTTTGTCAATCGACATTTGTCATTTCAGTGCTCACGTTACCCATTTGAAAAAACGAGTCGACGATACTTTATGTTATTTACATTACTTGATGTGATTTCTGTTCATTGAGTGACAAGAAGACGCAGACCAAGATTGTGTTTACCAACCCCACGAAATCGGATTAGACAGACCTCCCTATGTGTTAACATGGATAATATGGTGAGTCCACAGATGTGCTTTTCACTTTCGTGCAACTTAATTAAACTAACTTTACTCCCACAAATCATCTCACGAGATTTGGCCGGTCTTGGCTTTTTTTATCCTTGGTATACCATGGTTCCATTGTTCTTAGGTTCTAAACGCATATGATCGCTGAAACATTCCGGTGATGTGGAACTAATTAGATGTTTCCTAGTATTTGTACGCGTATTCAACAACAAACTGGGTAAGAGTTGAAGGATTTTGCACGCATGCAATGTTTAAACAATTGGGTACTTCCGCTACACATCTTACTCCAGCGTTTAATTCAGCATTGCGCTGCCCAGGGTCTTCGATGTGAGATTTACCGTATATTACAGTGTATAAGCCCATCCGTATATAAGCCGACAGTTTGATTTTCCAACGTTAAATTTGTCTAAAATCGTAAGTCCGTAAATTAGGCGACCCGCAGAAAAATCAGCAAAACGAGAAACGAAATTGTTTCTCACAATTTTGACTTCAGCACTACCTGCTCTCACTTGAGTGTCCTCAAGCGAAGGCTGCTATACCATTGGTCAGTTCTGCGCAGATAGCCGTCAACAAACCGAATGGGGCATCGCACTGGGCAAGTTCAACCGCCTTGTCTCCCAAGCATGGCTCGATAACTGTAATAGCAGCTGCCACCACATTTGACTCGATAATGAGATGTTAGTCTCGAAGATGATTGTCTACTCTAGAGATCCAGAGCGTTCATTCCATCCCGGTTGTGGCCATAGGTCCTACAATAGCTATACGAAACGCACCCAGGAATCACGAGGATGAAGGGATTTGAGCGAGCATACGTGTTTTGACCTAATATTGACAGTGATATCGAAGATTTTCTGTGACACTGCGATGACTAACAATCCACACGAAGAAGCGCCCCTCCTGTACCATTAAGGCTATGGAAGTAGCTCAGTAAACCATGGGAACGTGTGCACACTGACTTTTTAGCCCACTCAATGAAAATCTTAACATCTATTTGATTGACGCCTACTCCAAATGGATTGGGGTGTTCCAGCTAACAAGTGCCACTTCGGAGCCAAACATTTCCTGCATGCGGACGGGATTCAGCACCTTAGGTAAACCACACACACACACACACACACACACACACACACACACACACACTGGTAACTGACAATGGCTCCATGTTTACCAGTCAGAAATTTCAGGAATTTCTGCAAAGCAACGGCACACATCAAGTGGACTCTGCGCTTACCACCAGGCTTCCAATGGACTAGCTGAAAGGGCAATCCCATCGGTCAGGAACCAGTTACGTAAACTACCACCGGCTCCACTGTAGACGAAGTTAAACAACTTTCTTTTCGGATACCGCTCCACACCAAATGATACGACTGGTAAGAGCCTTGACGAGCTGATGTTCGGACGGAAATTCATCATCCTTATCATCGACATCAGTCATCATCGTCATCACCATCATCACTAGCAGCATCATCATCCTCATCGATACACGTTAGTTAAGAGTGAGAACCACACCTCAGCTAATGTGCCGCCATACAAAAGGAGAAGTCACAAAAAAATTAACTGTAAAACAAAGCAAGTAATATAATATAATATATTGTATTAGGTAATTTGTTTTAGGTTAGAGTGGGATGGGGACTCCAAAAGAGAGGGGTGGACAAAATAACGAAAACAAACGACACTGGTGCAGGCTTCTCGCAAGTGTGTCCAACCAGATGTGTTCATTGTCCTCAGGAACCAAGCCAGGTAGTCGGGATGCACCAACCGACACCAAATTCGAAGTGACGGTTTGCATTTCTTTCTACCAAGTCATCACTTGGCCTCCCCTCCTCCTCTTCCAACCGCAGCCCTGGCGCGCAAACAATACACCGCGCGGAAATCCGTGTGAAGACATACGCAACACGTGGCCCAAACATCGGAGCCTGGTACTTGATATAGTGGGGCCGAGTGGTTCATTAACTCTTCCTGCACAAAATACGCGCCTCAGAACACGTTCATTGCTCACGCGGTGCTCCCACCAGACATTAGCTAAGCTCCGAAGGCAGCGATGACTCACTTGACCAGCCCCTTTAGGTCTGTCGACCTGATGGGCCAGGGTTTACAAACGTATACGTGGGTTAAACGGACGGCAGCATCACAAACAACCATCATCATCACCATCAACATCATCATCATCATCATCATCATCATCGTCATCATCACCAGCATCATCGTCTCCTCCTCCTCATCATTCTCATCATCCTCATCATTATCATCATCATTATCATCGTCCTCCTCCTCATCATCCTCCTCATCATCATCATCATCATCATCATCATCATCATCATCATCATCATCATCATCATCATCATCATCATCATCATCATCATCATCATCATCATCATCATCATCATCATCATCATCATCATCATCATCATCATCATCATCATCATCATCATCATCATCATCATCATCATCATCATCATCATCATCATCATCATCATCATCATCATCATCATCATCATCATCATCATCATCATCATCATCATCATCATCATCATCATCATCATCATCATCATCATCATCATCATCATCATCATCATCATCATCATCATCATCATCATCATCATCATCATCATCATCATCATCATCATCATCATCATCATCATCATCATCATCATCATCATCATCATCATCATCATCATCATCATCATCATCATCATCATCATCATCATCATCATCATCATCATCATCATCATCATCATCATCATCATCATCATCATCATCATCATCATCATCATCATCATCATCATCATCATCATCGTCATCATCCTCATCAGCATCATCATCATCATCATCATCATCATCATCATCATCATCATCATCATCATCATCATCATCATCATCGTCATCGTCGTCATCATCCTCATCAGCATCATCATCAGCAGCAGCAGCAGCTGCTGCAACAACAACAACAACAACAGCGAACTCCATGCACGTTAACCGAGGGTGTGAAGCACACCACTGTCCTTGTGCCACCATACAACAATGTAAGACATGCAATATGGACCTAGAAGCTATAAAAAGGCAACATATTACTACCAATACATTTTTGATGGTTGTTGTAATCAGAAGCTAAAGGGAAGGGGAGAGACAAGGAGACTCAAAACACAAACGCCATTGAGGTCCACTCTTCGCCATGTCAGCCAGTGTATCCAAGCAAACATGTTCATCATCCTTCAGCCCCCAACCAGGTAGTCGCGAAATCCCAACCGATGCCAACTTCGAAGTGAGGGACCCTGATACAGAACTCGAGAAGATGCAATCTATTACACGTTATCACATGTTGTCCCCATTCGTTGAAAACGTTAGTTGAACATTTATGACTGAGCGAACCCCAGAGATAGACTGGGAAAATGCTTGAAAACCTTCACCTCACTAGTCAGCAAATCATCAGAGCTAAAAGCTTTCCATTGTGCCATCAAACCAAATTCCTTCCTGAGAAGCCGAACGAAAAACTTTTATGGCCCTGGAGGATCGGACATGGCGCCTTTACAAAAAGATTCCTGCACAACAAAGCAGACAGCGTATGTAGCTCAGCTAAATCATTCTGTGCAGTTGGTTTGTGAAGGCAAGGTATCACAGTAACAAGAGCCAGCAAAACGATTCTGTTCGAACCACAAGCTACTTTACAGACACGTGAATGCACTTCGAGAAGTGCAGCGCGGAATCCTACTACTCAGTACGACGCGTGGGTAGGCACACGCAGCAAAAAGGTGGCCAAAGCCTCACGGGCCCAATACCGGCCTACCTACCAAGGGGTACTAGCCTCGAACATTATACTTGCTTCTGTCATCACATCATCAGTGTTAGCCAGCATCATATTCACAGCAAAAATGTTTCTTACGTACACACAGCTCTCCTGGAGTGGATAACCACCCCAAAGCAACGCAGGTAGCAGCCATTCACCTAGCCCAACCACTTGCCAAATATTTTCAGCCTTGTCGGAACGAAAAACGTTCCTTCAATGTGGAAACGTGGTATTAAAACCTCTTTCACAAGGGAAGAAGTCGGTCTGACCCTGCCAATTACCGTCCAGTAACACTTCTCCCCTGCTCGCCTAAGTCACGGAAGATCTCACTGCGGACGTACAGATGGGCTACCTGGCAAACTACATAATTACGCCTGAACAGCACGGAGCTCGTAAATGTCGATCATATATGTCGAATCGGTTAAGAGCGCGTGACAATTGCACCGGAACAGTTTCTACCGCTTGGAACATCAAATCCTCCTGCACAAACTGCAGCTCTACGGTGTCGTATGAGTTGGTAACTTTCTCCACGAACGGTAATTGGAAGTTACAGTCCGAACATTTCTATTCCACATGATTCGAGTGGAGTGCGCGTACCGCATGGTTAGGTACTTCGGTCTCGCTTGTTCTTGGATTTCATCAACCATCTACCGAGAGCTATGGCCTCAAAATTTTTACTTTTCGCGGGTGAGGTTAAAATTTGGTGGGCGATCATTTAAATAGACGACCACGAGATGTTTCCGCTCGATCTTGATGTGGCATGGCGTTGGTCAGTGACGAATGCACTGTCATTCAATGTGGACAAGTGCTGTGTTGTCCACCTCCGCCATCAACACACCTAGCCCTTCAGGGCGGGAGTGATGTCGCGTCTGCGCCACAGGTGGCGGTGGTTGGCCAAGTACCCCATGCTTTTGTTATACGGTTCCTAATCTCATCTTTGATCCAAAGGACGCCAATATAGCTGCCCAGATGCTTGGATTGATGAACGACTTCTAGCTGATCGCCATCAAGTGTCAGCCCAGGGGTGGGTTCCTGCCAATCTTGGAGAAGCACTTTGCATTTCGATGGGGCAAAGCATAAACCAAAACGATTGACAGCCGGTGCTAATCGGTCCAGTGCTGCTTGGCAAGTCTGGGAGCTGTCACAGATGATGGCGATGTCTTCCACATACACCAAGTCAGGAAGTCGATCACCAGGAAGCAGCTCCACTCCTTCTAGGTCGTGTCCAGCGTAAGCTGTCTCCATGACTTCCTCAATAGCGAAGTTGAAGAGGAAAGGCGACAGCGGACAAGCATGTCTCACACCGCTGGAGATACTGAAGGGCGGCGACATATATTATACACAATCTGTGGTACAGATATGAAATGTGTCAGCTTATACGCCGTAACGACGCTTCGCTGCCGCGCGACCACCACTAGTCGCGCGCGGGCTAAGTATACCGCGAGGACGCCCATCCCTACGCGGATTCGAACCGGCGACCTTATGGTTGGAAAGCAAACGTGCCGACCACTCGGCCACCGGCCGACGTGGTACAGATATTGTGCCATCGGAATCATGGCTGAATAGGAAAACAATATAAATAATAAGAAAAGAGCAACAACAAATGCCTTTTTTGTTGTACTGTTACTGGACGTCGTGTCTTTCGGGGCCAACCCCGTCCTCTGCAACGTTCATAACTTGCATGGCAGTGGAGGATAAGACACGCTATATCGCAGTTAGCTTGTAAATCATGACGGTCCGAAGCTGTCCCCCGTGGCCCAGTGGCATAAGCTGCATGGGTTCGAATCCTGACTTATCCAATGGATGCGCACTACTGACGATGCCCAACAGGCTGAAACTGCAGTCTAGTGCTTTTCCAGGCATGTGGACGACTAGCTGATTTGGAAACTGGCTGCGAGGCACCTAACCTAATTACATCAAAATCCCCTACTCATGAGTACATCAAAGGCCTTTTTTGTCTATTTTACCACTCAGTTTTTGAAACTTTTTCAGTTTGTTCTTTTTCTACAACAAACCGATGCACACGTCTGCCATTGACATCGATCTTGAGCCATAACTTTTAAGGTCTTCAACCAGCAAATATCCTCATCTCTCGGACTCCAACCAGGTAGTCGACAACAATCGGCCGAGGCCAACTGTTTCGTCAAATTTTTCATGCGGCTTCCCCATGTTGTAGGCTGTCCACCAGACCGTCTCTTCCAGCCCTGTCCAGCAAGTGCAAACAACGCACGACGGAGGTAACGCTGGACAGGCATGCGCAATACGTGTCCCAACCACCGCATTTGATGCAGTTTGCTACAAACCCTCACTCTGCCCAAACTATGCGTGTACAGCGCTTTGACAATGTTTACGTATTTATCGAGCACACCTTTTCTGAGCAGACAGTCCCAAAGGGCACATTGATCAACCGAATGGTAGGCATCTTTGAAGTCAAGAAACACGAAAACGGTGGGTCTGCAATAAGCATGGCGGTGTTCCAACAATTGGCGCAAAGTGAAGGTGTGGTCGATACAGCCGCGACCTCGAGGAAACCCGGTTTGCTCTTCACGGATCTGGCCTCCAGGAGCGCCAGCCAGCCTGTGGAGAACGACAGACGCAAGTAATGCAGATGCAACTGAGGTCAAACTGATCCTTCTATAACTGTCATATTCCGAGCCGGAGACTCGCTTGAAAATCGGGACTATGACGGTGCGGCTCCATTCTGTCCGTACAGTTTCCTGCTGCTAAAGTTTCACTAGCAACTCACGTAAATCATGTACAAGAGCAGGTACCCCGAAGTAAAAGAGGGCTGAGGAAATTCCGTCTGCCTCTGCGGAATTATGTCATTTTAACAGTCTGATCGCACGTTCGACTACTGCGCATGTGAGCGGATCTAAGGAGACGGTCCATGGCGAAGGGCTTTCAACGCTCGAAAAAGTAAGCGATGACCCAGATTGGTTAAACTGTCTTGGAAAGTGTTTTGCCCAACGCTCCAAGCGTTTTGACAAGCTGTAGACCGGCTGTCCACTGTTGTCGCGTATTGTTTTGCTAAAATCAGGCCTCTTGTAGCCTGTTTCTCGTATAAGACGGAAGAATTCACGATGGTTACCAACTGTAGCGGCTGTTTCAATTTCCGTCGCACCATGACACCGCCAGGCTTCGCAGTCTTTCTTCAGGCTAGCATGTAGTTTTGCCCTGAGATTTTGTGAGTCTCTTTATGTTCGCTGCCATCCGGAATACGTCATCGAGCATCCATAAGTTTCGGACTTTATAGAGACTAAATAACTAAACTGGCAATTTGATTTCCCACTAGAAGACATGTCTGTTGATAGTAACCTTTGACGAATATACAACCAGTGGTCTTCGACGGTGTTCAGTGAACGCTTACTCAGCCCGGATGCCAGAATACTTTGACACTCATCCAGAAAACTTGGCTTCGCCAGTTTGCTGGTGTCATTGCGCTCAGAACGACGCCGCCGACGTTCCCCGAAACGCACCCGAAGGTCGGTGCAAACAAGAGCGTGATCGGAGTCCCCCTGGTGCTCCAAATCGGTTGACAGTTTTGGACACAGCCTCTCCAGCGGTAATTAATCGCTATGTGATCGATTTGGGTCCATGGCTGGCCCGAGAGTGGTAGGCGCCAAGTCACTCTTCTGCGGATGCTATGTCGAAAGTTAGTGCATGCAAGAACGAGACGAGCACCTTCATGCAGGTGTAGCAACAGCTCACTATTATGATTACAGGAGCCTTCACGATGTTGACCGCCTAGAGGAAGCTCATCAGAGGACAATTTTCCGACTTGCTCGTTTAGATCACCAGCAAACACCACAGTATCCGTGCTTCTTGTATAACGAAGAAGATCGTTAAGATGATGATAGAAATCCTCTTTCACCGAATCAGGGATGCAGTTTTTGGGGGCGTAAGCCGCAATGACAAACAGGCCCCGTTTGTCCCTACGTGACTTCGAAGCCTGGAACGAGCCAGCCAACCTAACGGCGCACATCCGGCTGTTGACAGGGATCCAGTCGATCAGGGCAGCTTCATCCCCCGGATTCAAAACCACGCCGACGCCAGCTTGACAGGAATTGGAGGCCGTGCCATCACCAGACAGACGCAATGGGAATGTGAAATAATTGAGAATATCCGTAGCTCCAGGTGTGGACGCTAGTTTTCAGCTGTTCTCCGAGCTGAGTGATTATTGTGC